AAATGTCTTATGGGCTAGAGGAATCTCTTTAAGCTCAAAGGCATCCACAAAACTGTTAAACTTCCTCATGCTTTTTGTCACCCTTTGATTAACCTGATTGGATTCCTCCGAGAATCTGATCACATTGAAATCCCCACGCATGCACCAGGGCCTATCCTACAACCCTCTAACATCAACCAATTCCTCCCGCAACTCCTTTCTCTCTCTGTAGTCATTTGGTCCGTATACATTTGTGAGCACCCACATATAATCATCCTCTTGCTGCTTAAACATCATGGAAACCGAGTACTTTCCGATCAACTCCTCCAAACCATCAACCACATCCCTCTTCCACATTGTTACAATCCCCTCAGAAGCACCCCACGAGGGAGCAGCCACCCAGCTAATCCCCCTAGCTTTCCATACACTCCTTGCCCATTTGTTATTAAACTCCATTCTCTTAGACTCTTGCAACAGCACAATGCTTGGGTCACACCTCCTTATTACCTCTTTTATTGTCGCTCTCTTCCTTGCACTCCCAATTCCCCTCACATTCCAACTAAGAATCTTCATTCCGCTTCTTTTTTAANTTTGTTCTGATCTCCTTCTTCCTCTTCTGTAAGCTTTCTTTCAACACATTCAAATCTTCCAACCTACAACCCAACTTCCCTACAAATTCTGCTATCATGTCTTCTCTCACCGAGTCCTCCACCCCTACCCTTCCTACAGAATCCCCTCCATCTCTGTCCAGCTGCCCTTTCTTCCTCTCCTTTGGTCCCACCTTGTTCTTTCCTCTCCATCCATCCTCCCTCTCCTATTACCTCCCTCCTTCCCTGTTCTCTCCCCGTAATCCTCTCCATCTCTACCCTCATTCCCTTCCCTCCTCTCCACTGACCCCTCCACTCTTCCTTCCTCCCCTTCCCTCCTCCAGATCAACTTTCCTTCCACTTCCTTAAACACTCTTTCAATGATTTCCCACACTTTTTCACTCCTATACCTTCCTTCCCACTTTCCTTCCTTCCCCTCTCCCCCTCCTCGGAGAGCCCGCCAACGAGCTCGACTACATATTCATGGGCTACAGGACATGGAACAGGAACGAAATCTGGAACCAAAGACATAGCACAAACCGAATTCACTTGGTTACTTGGGACTGATGGACATGCTAGAAACGGACTGCTCCTGGCCTCCCTTTCTTGTTCCAGAGGTAGGTAAACATCTATCTCCCTGAGTTGGTTGGAAAGTACTTCTGTCCTTTGGTCATCCTGGTGATCTTTCCACTCTACCCTTGGTTCACCCCTAGATGGTGTGTTTCTGCTCTGCTTCCGGTTCTCCTGGTTTGCCCCTTCTGTTATTCCTTGCACGCTCTGTAGTCTTGGGAATGAGTTAATCCGATTACAATCTTCACCCTGAAATAAGCTTGCAATATTCCACCCGTCCATGTCACCTCCAGCACAGCTACCTTTGTCATTTACACTGCCCATGCTAGTACCATCAACAGAAAAGTCCTCCGATTCTTCATCTCCTTCACTACACTGCACCCAGCCTTCATCCTTCTCTTCCCTCTCTTCAGTTCTTTCCTTAGCGTAGGCCTCTCTGAGGAGCGTCGCAGGGGACTAAGCTCCTCTAGACCCACTGCAAATCCAACTTCTCCATTTTCTGCCGCTGCGCGCATTTCCCCCACTTTCTCGCGACTTGGGACGATGATAGACCATTATCATCGTCTATCAGTGGCCCAAGAAGAGTCCCCATACCCCAACCCACGTGACATTTTAAGTTATCACATGGGTCCTTCAAGTGGAACCTCCTTTCGGTGTTACATCCACCCGACCCGCCCGTGTGACCTT